CCAAAGGTCCAAATTGAGCCAACCGGCTCTGATACCACTTGTAGGGGACTGTGACGCCTAAGAGGGGGGTGAATTAGGCAACTTAAAATTCTAACTCTAAACTATGGCCTCTTTTTCTAACCCTAGCAAAACCTATGCAAAAGATAAACTATCTAAATATGCAATTACGGTTTTGCTAGTGTGTTGCTATCTCTACTGTAAAAGGAGTAATACAATCAATGTAAATATGGAAGCTAAAGAGCAAGGTATAGATATGCAAACTCCTATCGATGACTCTGGTATTTTTATCGAGAAGCACGCAAGCTTCCCCCTAGTCCTCGTTGGAGCCCCTCGCAAGGAATCCCTCGCAAGGGCCAAGCTCCCGGTCGGGTAACTCCGTGGATAGCCTCGGGCCTTCCCCACCTGCAAGTGGGTCTCCGATGTGCCTTCCGGCAAGCCTCTCCTAGATGCTCCGTGCCGTCTTCACTATCAAGCTTCCGGCCGAAACGCCGCGGGCCTTGTTCCCTCCGGTGCACGGTGGCGGCCACACCACAAATGTGGTTGGTGTGATCTCGTAAGACTACAAGCCCCTCTGATGTACAACAATGGTGCGCGTAAGCACCGAGTGGTAAGAGGTATGCAAACCTCACTAAACACTAGGCCTAAACCTAGAGCAAGCGCATAAGTGGTGGTCTAATCAACCTAAGGACTTCGCAAAGCACCTACGCTAATCACCTAATAAAACACTAAGCACTATGCAAGTGGAGATCACTAAAATGGTGTATCAACACCCTTGGTATGTTTCCTTAGCTCCACACTACTCAAATGGCCGTTTGGGGGGTCTATTTATAAGCCCCACTGAGAAAGTAGCCATTGGGGACGAAATCCTGCTTTTCTGCTACTGACCGGACTCTGACTAGCATCCGGTCAACACTGACCAGACGCGTTCGGTCATGAAAACGGCTCTCTGGAACCTTACTGATGTTGACCGGACTCTGGCACCCAGCATCCGGTCCAGCGTCCGGTCGCTGCTGTTGCCGAGCCTCTTGATCGGAGCATCCGGTCACTTTCCACCAGCGTTCGGTCCAGCATCCGATCTAGCGTCCGGTCCAGCATCCGGTCACCTCTATGAGCTTGTTTCTTCACGATCTTGCATCTGGCTTGGTTCCTATCTTCGTGCTTAGACTTTGCTCGATATCTTGGGTCTTCTCTTGTGCTTCTAAGGTCTTGCTTATGGTGTTGATCATCGGATCATCACGTCGCCTTCGTCCAAGTCACGTCTTGCACCCTATTGAACTACAAAACAAACACTTGCAAATTCTTTAGTCCAATTTGGTTGTGTTGGTCATCAAACACTAAAATCCAAAGTAAATGGGACTAGGGTCCATTTTCCTTACATGGTGTTCCTACCACTTCTTGTGTTGATCTGTATTCTACGCACCCATAGGGACCTCGGTAAACTCTTAGATTCAAGTTTCCTTTCACTCATTTTGAATTATATCTCAAAGTTGTCTGCAGGTGTGGTAGTGCCGTTGTTCTTGCTAGGCTGTGCCGCAGAGCGGCAATGCCGTGGGCATAGAGCAGCTGTGCCACGGGTTGAATTTGACAAAAGTTCAAGTTTTGTTTTAACAGGCCTATTCACCCCCTCTAGGCTATCCATAGATCCTACAACATCTCATGAAGCGTAGAAGCCGGAAGAAGGCGCGTGGCGACCTTCACCTTGCCTTCGAGTCTTCATGAGCACAGACAACGCCTTAAAGACGCCACGGGGAGTGACGCCTCGTGGAGCTTCCTCTAACATCTAAGAGGAGGAGCACCGCGAGGAGCCTAGCCTACACCATCTTCTTCGATGTTAGGGAGGAGCGAGCGGCGATGACTCGATGGCTCCAAGCCTCCAAATTGATACACTAGAGCTCCTAGGTCGAGATCTATGGGGCAAAGGGTTTCCCGGCAATAGCAAGCCGCCCTTTGCCCTCCAGAATTTTCTATAGATATTACGACCTGGAAAGCCCCCTTTCGTCGACCACTGGCGGGCCCGACCGCCACGCCTTCGACGACCTGGGCCACCGATGGTATTGTTCCTCCCCATCTTTGTGGAACTTCCTGTAACACCCAAGAAGAACGGCCACCACCAGGCCACCATGGAACCTGATCTTGAAAGCCTTCTCCCAGTGACGGCGTGACCACCGGAGAGCGTCGTGAACCATGGCGCACTGGCAAAATTGCCACTCTCGCACTCAGTCTAAGACTGGTGGATTTGGGGAAAACAGAGGGGTGAGACTCACTAGCCTCCATACCCCGCCGCTTAAATGGGTGCCCTGAGGATGGTAGTGGGGGAGTTGGTGGTTGACATTAAAGGCAGACTCAGGCATCGAGAGGGCTCCACAAAGTAAAGGCATGGGAAACAAAACGGTTTGAGTTCCTAGGCACCACTATCCTTATCTTTTATAGGATTCAATGATGCGCAAACGATGCATTCAAACAGGTAGGAGACTCCCACCCAAATGGTTCTCGAAACTCGAGAAGGCATTACTGCTATCCTATGCAACGCTCACAGTCGTCCTGATACTCGGGGCCCCTCTGATTGTACTCAAACGTCTCGTCACCCGAAGGCTATAGGGACTTGCGGCACCCGAAGGATTGTTCAGCTCCACGAGCCCGTCATCAAATCCTACGGGGGCTACGTTCAGATATATGGGCCCAGAGTAACCTCACCGACCATGTATCTGGCCCATCAACGAAGGACGACCGAGGATGAAGCCCGTGAGGAGTAGGTGCAGCTACCAACTTGGAGGTCATGACGTATCGAGGATATCTGCCACCGTCATAGATGGGTAGGATAGAATTGATCTGTTGTAACAAACTGGGAATCCAATTCATAGCGCCGATCGCCCTCATTGTAACCCTACCCCTCTGCCTATATAAAGAAGGGTAAGGACTCCACGATCATAGGGGCCAGTTCTATCTCGCGTGTCTTGACCTAAGCACCACCGCCGCCGCCTTCCACCACCTCTGGTCCCCCTCCCTTCCCCTCCAGCATCTCGCCGGAGGGCAGAAGGAGTGGGGATCCACTGTTTTTCATGTTTTTCTAGTAGATCGAGTCCTTAGGGTTAGAATTTCTCTATGCCAAATATGTTGGTATTGGGGATTTATCTCCTCTCTGGCAACAACGAAGGGGAAGGATGGAATCGTTTTCTCCATGGTGGCTCTGTTGAAGATGAGGACGACGACTACGGCATCAACAACTTCACCAGCTTGATGACATGGAGACCTTTCTTTTCGAACGGCGACATCAAGGTGGAGATGATGTCACCGCCATGGAATAATTTTCTTTGGTCTCTTCTCCGTTTTGTCATGGTTAGATCTAGCCATGATAAAGGACTAGGGAGAATAATTTTCAGATCAGTCTTCCTCATTCTTCGGTGGCTGAAAGAAGAAGAAGAAAGACACCAAAAGGAAGAAGTTTCTCAACGCCGCCTACATGAATGTTGGATGTCATTCGTTGGGCTTCTGTTCTCAGGCCTTTTGCCGAGTGTTTGCCTGTGTGGTCATCCATACTGCAAAGCGTCGTACAGGTTTGGTTTTGAGATTTGGAGCTATTCACAGCGTGGGTACAATTTAGATGAAAATCAGTTTCTGGATATTTGTGTAATCCAGAGTGCTTGTAACGTGTTAATGTACCCCGTTATTATCTAATATAAATCTTCTTTTGTCGCAAAAAAAAAGATTCTGTGATCGTCATGTCCACCACGACACCATCATCTCATTCCAATCTACCTCGTAGGTAGGAGCAACAGCCCCTGTAACCGAGCATGCGAATACAAGAAGAGCAGCATCACCCATTGGATTAGGGTTTAGCGCGCCACCGCGTCCCGAACCAGTATAAATCCTTGTGTCTCGTGTGCTACCATCTGGATCCGTCTACGCGATCACATTGCTAGGCATTGCCGGAGCTAAATAATCCAACACCCGCCGTCTCCGACATGGTCTGTAGCGGTGACCCCAATGATGAATCCGCACTGGTCTTCCATGACTCGAGGCCAGAGACCTTGTAAGGAGCTGCTAGAGAAGTAGCTCGATACTCTCGAACTTCTTGTTGGTGGTCTTCGTGTTCGCTGCCATGAGAAGTTCAACCTATGTTGGCTTCATCTTCAACACTAGAGCGAATCACCATGGCGATGGAAAAAAATTGGCCAAAAATCATCCTGCTCTGAGTACCAATTGTGATGAACTAAGATAGCCGAGGAAGATTTAGAGGTAGATTCAACAAGAAATGGATAGGAATCAGAGGAATTTCAGCAGTGGGAGCCCACCAGGAGGTACCTTGGGGTTTCAGAGTTTGGATTTCAATTAACAGAGCAAGTTCGTTACATGCCGTTTTGGCCCCCTTTAAGGTGACGCAGTGTCGACTTCCCATCCGGTATGGGTCCACCTGTCATTCCCTCCTTTCTTCCGGGTCCACAGCCATTGCGTTCCTCTCTCTTATCGGATCCCAAACACCTCCGCTTCCAGGCCTGCTTCCGCCGTTGTCTTCGCATACCCCACAGAGTCATGACAAACGCCTACTTCTCCCACCTCTCTAGTGAACACTATAACTCCTGGAGTCTTCATATTATTCGAAAAATAATTTCAAATTTCAACAATGACATATTCCCCAGAATGAAAAGTCTCCAAATATCTATTCGAAATGAGCAAACATTCCTTATTCAGTCAAACTTGCATAGGATTTCAAAACAGAATACCTCGTATAAACTAGGCATGCCCTTTTTCTTCCCACATAGAAAACCATGAGGGTATATACATAATCACACAAACAAAGCATCGTACATACCACTTATAACATCTCAAGTCCATACACCGCACACTGCATAGAGCAGCTTTATTTTGTTTTGTATGAAAAAAGAGGAAAACTCCAGGAACGAAAAAGAAAATTAAACCCAAACTTCAGGAAGGGGAATCGCATCCCAATCCACCGATCTAGTTGTAGGCGTCGGGGTTGGCGACGAGGTAGGCCTCGGCACCCTTGAAAATGGCGGTGAGTGACTCCTTGGCCTTGGTGATCTCGTCCTTCAGCTCCACGCCCGGCAGCGGCTTGAACGTCGTCTCCACCTTCGCCACGCTGCCGCCGTCGGCCGCGGGCTCCACCTTGATGTGCGACGTCGCCGTCTCGATGGCAACGCCGATGCCGCCGCCCTCGAGGAGCGTTTGCTTGCACTCGCACTTGTCCAGGTCCAGGAAATCGAGCCTCTCCTTCGTGAAGGTGAACGGCATGACTGCAAGAGCGATCGATCGCACGTCATGAGCTAGCTGTTTGATCCATCAGGCGAGAGAACATGTTGGTCTGGGCATGCCGCGGACACTTACCTGAGGTGAAGTTGAACTGCCTGATGCTGCCAACGCCGCCGTCGCCCTCCACGGGGTGGGCGCTCGCAACGACGTGGGAGGCGAGCTTGGGCGCCAGGTTGTGCCAGTCCAACACGGCGGCGCGGAACAGGCGCGGCGCGGCCACCGGCGACGCGATCTCGAGGGTCCAGCTGTTGGCGGAGGCCATTACTTCAGTGATCGTCGGCCGATGCTTAGGTGCTCAGCGCTGAGCGTGGCAGTGCTACTGCTGGTGGTTTTAGCCTTGCAGCTTCTGCTTGTGTTGCCATGAGAGTGGCGGACTGAGGGCTTTAAATAGGCGGTTATGGCGGGGGTTCGTGGCGTCCGGTGAGGACTGAGGATGAGACGCCCGGAAGTGAGGCTCCTCCCAGCTCCCACATGGGTTGGCTTGGCACGGCACCTTTGCTCGTCGGTCCATTAGTCCATTAATGTGGCCGGGGTTGCAGACACAAGTCAAGAAACGTGCTGCCATTCCGTCAACGTTCAACCCCTGAAGGTGTAGAATATGTCGTCGAATTGGCACACCGTTTCGCTTTCGCGTGAGCCAAATGATATAGAATAACGCTAGTTTGGGATGATGAGCTTCTAGATCAAAAAGCATGTAAGCGTGGTGGGTTGGTGTGATTAGAAAAGAGAATTATATTGTGAGCGTCCTGACTACTTGCATCACTCTTTTTTATTTTGAAGTTTAAAGCGGCTCTAAGGGCTTGTTATTGCATCCATAGGTTCGACAAAGTCGCAAGACACTAAATTTTTCGGAAGGACTAGCGCCCAGACGTCCGGATCGTGTCTGGACGCGGCTCCAACAACTACGCCGGTCCTGCGTCAGCACCAGCGACAGTCACCAGCCACGCCGTGCAACACTCGATCTACTTTTGCAACATCCAGATAAAACCTTTGTAACATACGTCGAAAACAGATAAAACATTTGTAATATACAGTTGAAACATCATTGCAACAAGTGTAACATCCTGATCTACTTTTGAAACATCTAAATGCAACAATTGCAACGTACAAAAGAAGATAGATAAAACACTTGAGACATGTGTATGAAAACTTGCAACATACGTGTAAAAAAATAGATGAAATATTGGGGATAGATGTTTGCAACATACGTGTATAAACATTGCAACATATGCAACATCCCAATCTACTTTTGCAACATCCGCATTAAACATAATATGAAATAACTGAAACACATGAAACATGTGCTTGCAACATATTTGAAAAGGCGTCTAGAAACACTTGAAACACAGCATTGTCGCGCGGCCATTCCCTACCTAGTGGGCAACTGCGGTGGCGCAGGCCTCCCCTTCGTGCCGATGGCACGAGGTGGATGGGGGCGCAGGCGCAGGCACGGGTGCAGGCCTCCCCTGCTTCCCCTTTCGCGACGGGCAGGGTGGATTGGCGTGACGCTAGATGGTGCGCGGCCGCACGCCCCCGTCATGCCCGCCGTCGGCCGAGCAAGAGGAGACGCTGCCTGATTTGGGGAGGGCGCCGCCGGCCGGCGTAGGGGAGGGTCAGTAGCTTGCTTGAGCCTACCGGCCGGGCGCCAACGGCTTGCTCGAGCCGCCATGGAGTGGGGGAGCGGCCGTCATGGAATGAGGGAGGGTCACGGCCGCAGCGGCGGAGAAGGCGAGCGAAGGGCGGTGGTGCGTTGGAGGCGCCCGTAGCGACCGATGCAAAATGGGGAACAGAGTGTCGATCTATTTTATTTATTTCCTTTTTAGGGACTCTGTATGCGGGAGCAGGCTGTGGGTCGGTCCGCAGGCCCAACTAGCCGCGTTTGGACGGACCGACACAAGACGAACGCCCTAGTTGAAGCACTATTGTAAATTTTTTACAAATTCTGGAAGGCGGTTCGTCCAAACACAAGACTCATCAGCGTTGCAACTCATCCCCATCCTAGCTAATTCATGAGCAACTGAATTACAGACCTGAGGCACTGACATGACATCATTACAAATGAAATGGCCATGTAGTAACTCACGAGTATCCCTAATGAGCATCCCGCTTGCAGCTAAATCCATTGAGGATGAAAGAAGGGCTTTCTTGAGCACCGATGAATCCATCTCTAGTTGTATCCGGGAGATGCCAAAATCTATCGATGATTGCAGCGCCTTTGCACACGCCGCTGTTTCAGCAGTAAGGGCATCCGGAACTGCTGACCGGCGCCCCGCACCAGCTGCCAGGGCGTCATTTTGATGGTCCCCGATGATGAATCCCTAACCACCATTAAAAGTATCATGTATGAATGCACCATAGCAATTGATATTCAGAGTCCCCGGTGGCGGAGCGCACCATCTTTGAGCTGTCAACTCCACGCCCTCGCCTCCTTCCCCTTCAGGTCCATAATAAAATTCAAAACTTGGCCAGTAACTTCCTCTCTTGTTAAACCGTGCTCCCCTTTTTTCCTCTTTTGGTGTCGTACTGTCGCTATTAACCTTATCATAAACTCTTTTCCGTTGTTTGCTTTCTCAGTTTACCATCATACAATAATTATACTATAATCCTGTAAATACACCTTTTTATTTGTTTTGGCGAAGGAAAGAGGATTATATTAAAACTCAGCACAGTACATTCCCAAATTATATATGAAAAAAAATCAGAAACAAAAAAGACATAATATGCTATCTAGATTCTTCCATCATCTTCTTCTGCAATGGCTTCCCTCGAATGCCGGAACCAAAGTACAGTTCTTATGCCGAATCCAACGACCAACCCAAAAAATTAGAAATACCACAAGATCCAATGCTAAACGCATCTGAATAGATGAAAAAAATATTGACAATTGCATCTTCAGGTAGAACATATGATGCAGATTCATCATCTCTGTCGATGCCATACCCCCGTGTATCCTGACTACAGGATTTGCTGAACACCGACTTCGGATAAGAAGAGACCCGACTAGGCGCGACGACCCTATTCAAGGAAGGATATCTCCGGATTACGCCAAGACTCCAACTATGGCACGACTACTTAGCCTGGGGCCAAGTTGATACCGGATATAAATAGCTAGCAATACCTCCTGTTGTAACCATCTAAGTGGGGTTCCCCAAGAACCAAATATCTAGCGGTAAAAAACACCGATAGTAGCGCGTCAGGTAGAGCAATCTTGTCGAATACAAGAGTAGCAACTAGACGTACAACTTTTACTCATTTCTCTAGGGCCTAAACCCGTATAAATCTTGTGTCTCTACTGTGATTAATCTTTGTATTAAATGGGGTTTCCCAAGAACCAAATATCTATATCTGGCGGTAAAAAACACCGATAAAGACGCATCAGGGGAATTCTGCGTGAAGATCGATCATACCAATCGTCGGAGGAATTTTGTTCTCAAGATGCGGCCATCACACACCGGAATCCATCGGGTTTGCTCCAAGCTTCGACCGGACGTGACGTCAGGATTCGGGGCAGCACGCGACGCTAAGCATGAGCAAGGAAGCACCCATGTGGTGTATAGGGCCATACAACAATGGAGTGCGTATACATGTATACTAATTTCCTTGCTTGTCTACGCCCTTAAAGACTCGACGTCAACCCGGATCGAAAAACACCAAACAGCTAAGTTCCATGTTTCGGTTAAATATTCTCGTATATATGCATGTCTCCAAGTATCTCTACCTGTCTTCATGACTCTTCGATGGCAGTTGCGGCTCTCATCGTCAACTCATTAGGCAAGCCAAACCAGGATCAACTCGTATGCACTCGGGCATCACGTATACGCAAGAAGACATACACTCAGGATATGGACAAGATCAACTTGCATGTACATACATCAGGCAGACCGATCCCGACTCCAACACGAGGTCAATCAGCCCCGACCGATTACGACTTCCGCGCTATCTGCCCCCGCTACGGCAAAGAATCCGGCATCTCCACAGCACGCTGCAATTCCTTTGATGGAAGGTTTAGCTGGTGTCAACTACGGCAAGAATTCTAGAGCTATCCATCTCAGATACAGCAACAAGACGATGCGATAGCCGGCCATGCAAGACGAGTTGATTATCAAAAGCCATGCATGTTAATTTTGGCAAGTTGCACAACCAAGCTGCTGAAGCGTGCGTAAGCCAACCTGGTGACGTCAAGCGGATCGTCGAGCCGCAAGCGGACCACGAGCGAGCCAAGTCGAGCCGCCAGCGAGCAGTCAAGCGATCCGCCAAGCCACAAACGAGCCATCCGAGCCACAAGCGAGCCGTCCGGGCCTCATCCATCAACTCAGATATTATGACACGCCGACTACTCCACTCAGCGTCCTTCGAGCTAAGTCATGTTCTTTATTTTAATTAAAAAATCTATAATACATGTATATCTCTCAATATATGTATGTGTCTACACAATTACTATTGGCAGGAGCCGACGACAGCCCTCATCATCGACACCCTGAGGCGGCCGTCGTCGATGTTTCGTGTCATTTTGTCGTCATTATATTTCGACTTTTGATTCCTCCGTTCCGAGTGGCCCTCGTCATTAGCACACCGTGGCTCGTTGATTCGTCATCCACGTTGGCGAACGCGTCATCAAACTGGGTGTACAGCGGTAGCATCACTGGCAACGACTAATTGGGCGCACCATCGATGGACTACTTCAGGCTGTCCATGCCGTTTCTGACAACGTCATCGACAAGTACTACTCGAGCAATGTCGGCAGGCATCCTCGGGACGGTCACTATCAACCTCTCATCACGGCTCTCGACCACCCGCCATCTCTCGCCATGGCAGTACTCGACAACAATTGCACCAACGTCTTGTTGGACTAGCTAAATCGCTTCCATAATTATTTTTATTTTGTAACTTTTGCTCTTACTTACTATTAAATTGGCCTCCAACTTAATAGAAAGTCAGGGGCTACATGCCTGCCTTTTTCTCTACGATTTAAGTACATGCATGATATGTCTATGTGTAAAGCTTTGTTAGCAACAACGACTTACGCCATAACCCAATGCTATACGGATCACACCATCATATGGCTAGTGTCCTGCGCACGGGGGCTACGGTCAAATGAACAAAATGAATAACACAAAGGGAAACAACATCAAGGAGAGAAGGCAACAACCCTTAAAACCACTCTAAGTACTTTTGTGACACATGTTCCACCACCTATAGTGCTTGATCGTAAGAGTCCATTGTGCTTAACGAAGCACTCGATCTCGAGCGAGTCCAAAGTACATCGAAGTAGTCATCATGCGAGGG